TTAATCGATACATTTTTTTTCTACCATTTTTTTATCATCAATCAAAGCTACTCATTAAATTCAAGCTACTGAATATTTTTTTTTCTTTTACAAAAATATTAAAGTCTAAAAAATAAATTACTACTTTTTTCTTTGACTATATTATTTATTGTATTGATTTATAAATAAGTGAAAATTCAATTAGAATTACAGTTCATAAACGAAAATTATCACCAAAGTACGTGGAGATTAACTAGGTATAGTACATGATTAATTTTCACTTGGAACTTGTTTGACATTTTAGGTCACGTCTCAGCTGATTTTATGCGCGTTGAAATCCCGAGAATTAGATAATACGAACATGTTAAAGTAATATAATTTATCATGTGTAAGCTACGCATAAATGTACAAGATGAAGTTTTGCTTCATATTTTTTTACCTTCTTTAAAAAAAAAAGAAATAAATAAATAAAAGCAACAGCAATCTTCTTTGCAATGATTTTCAAAGATTTTAATAAGAAAAATTGATCAACAAATGAGTAAGTAATTAGACCAATTGAGATAAAGTTTTTTCGATTGGATCCACTAAACCTTGATTGCACTGCTGAGCAAACTTTCATTAGATCTTCAATTTAGTTACGATAAACTTCAAAATCGTACCATTTTTTTTTTTTGTTGCTTGAATGAAATTTCTGTAAAAAATTGTGTTCAATATAAAAAAATAATTATGGCTTGAAGAAAGTAATGTAGAAAATGAGAGTGAAATGATTGTTACTGTAATTACATTCTGCTATTCGTAACATTTGATTGAAAATAACAATTAAGTTAAAATTCTTAGCTTGTTTATTACATGAAATTCTTTGCCAACTCTCCCTTAAACAAGGTCATGTATGTTTATAGCAGTCTCTTGGCTTCCTAAACTCTAAGGTTTAAGTGACACAATGATATGTACTTTGTGAAGTTGTGTAAGATAATTACATGGAAAGCTTGTCGAGATACGAATAAAATATATGTTAACTGTTAACTCTGTGTAAAAAGCTCTATGGCAATTCATGCTTTGACAACATTTCTGTTGCTTTTTAATCTTTTTTTTGTAGCCTCACAGAAGGCGGTTATTTTTTTAATAATCTGACTTATCTAAATTAACAACAGTAAAAATATAATAATAGTAACAGTAATTAATTCATAATTAATATATTATTTTTATTAATATTCAACGATTTAAATATTCCAAAATTTTGAAAAATAAGTGGTTTTTTTTGTATCCTTATACATATCTCATTTTTTTTAGTAATTTTTTTTTTTAAGATTTTGAAGTACAAAAAGTTGACTTTCTCATTAGATAGCTGTTGAGATTATCTAGATAATTTATTAACGATATCTACAATAGATGTTCCGGAATCGTTGCTTATTGCATTTTTTTCTCTATCAAAATACTAATTATTTTAAAAATTAATTGCATTCGTTGCCATGTGACCACAATAATGACCACAAATTTTTTTGAAATAAAATACAACTAAAGTTCCTAAATTATTGTCGATATGATTGTTTTTGTATTTTTAAATTTTCGACTTAATTAATTTTAAATTATTGATAATTATGCCTTGTTAAATAATACTTCAGATAGTTCCTACATCTATAAATTTTTTTTAGTGTAATAATTGTTAAGGATAATCGAAATCTGTATTTATTGCGGACTATCTTCGAATTTTGACTTTGTAAAATATTTTAATTTTTTCCCTTTCAATTATGTTTATCAATAAACTTTTTTTTTTTCTTTATCTAGTAAAACTTGCTGCACATTCATTCATGCAGAAACAATAATAATTCCTTCTACTTATTCTCAAAATTAATTTCCTTTATAAATTATTCTGCTGAATGTCAAAATTTTATTGATAAAAAAAGTTATTGTTAAAAAAAAAGTTTTTTTTTAACTCTGTAAACGTTCTTCCTAAATGAAATATTTTTTATTGAAAACCATTTTTGCAATTCCTATCCAACAGCTTTTAAATATTTTCTATAAACTTTTAAACTATAGAAACATTAGATATTGAAAAAAAAAAAAAACATAAAAATGTCCTAAAAAAAAATTAAAAAATAGCTAAATCAAAATGTTTTCCACCCCAATTCTACGAATTGTCAGTTTCTCTATATCTTTTTGTCATATGTTTCCAAACCTTTCTACGTACCATTTCTCTCATCTATTCTGATGCAGTGAAAATTTTTACAACCCTCACTAGTTTTATGATGAAGGAATATTGTATAAACTGATATCTGGTGTGAATGTCACTCACTTTCATTATCTATTCTTGTTTTTTTTTTTTCTATTTTTATCTTTGCACTTTCTTACGACGTTATTGCACATCTTAACATCAATAACTGTCCCATAAAAATAAGAGAAAAATATTGTATGAATTATAAATCATATTGACGATTGAAAAAGAGTTGAAAATACGACTCATAATTTTTATTAAATGACTCGGAAATTTTTTAAGTAATTCATCTTAAATTTACGAGAAAATTTCGATAGATTTGACGATAAGAATAAATGGGAAGCATTTAAATGACTCCTTAAATCTACTTTTCATTCAATAAATTGTTAAAATAAACGGAAAATTTATATATATTTTTTTATTTTATCATTTTAAAATATTATACCAAAATTTATTTTTCCTAAGAGACTTTAGCTATTGTACATCAAATAAATTGGAATTCTTCAGACTTTCACGAAAAGAAAAAAAAACCTCTTCTAAAAATTATCTTCATTTCCCAGCAGTTGGTTGGAATAAAAAAAAAAAATATCTTGGTAATTTTCAAATATAGTAAAATATGATAAAAATTTCAAGTATCAGAATAAAGAAGGTAACACCAGTAATTATCTTATTCAATTTCATCTTTGTTATTATTCTCATTTAAGAACATTTTTATCTAAAATCGATTAGTAATCATTTTGTAAACGTTAATTAACACACGACACTAGACGAAATGGTAATTATCTTCCCCTTAGAGTTTTAACGCCAGTTTCTCTTTCCCACCCTTTGGCTCACCAATAAAAAAATGTCTCGTCGGTAAAAGCTCCATTTTGGTCGCGTTAATACGACATACGAGGGCACCACTCACTTGAGAAGGTGTTACTAAAAGCTCTTTTGCTCAAAAGAATCACTCAAATCCCTTCGATTAATCAACCCTTGCTACTCGTCTTACCTTTACCACATCATTAACCCAGGAAACCACTGGGACTCAGTCTACATCTTCTACTATTTGTAGATTTATCCATTTAATCTTATCTTGAAGTAAATGAATTTAATGGAAATTAATCTAGTTTTACTGTAATTCAATTTATAAATCTATTTTCAACTTTTTTTTTAAATAATCCAAAAACAAATTATGTCATTTTAAAAAATTATTATTATCTGAATAAAGTTTTTTTGTAATCGAAATATGCCTATAGCCTTTATCTTCACTTGGAACACATGATAGAAAGTCCATTATCGACTCAATAGTTTAATTAAAAATTAGTTAACAAGTTAGCACATGACTTACTTCCCAGTGGAAAGAATAAAAATACCATATATTCTATTCATCATTATTGTCATTATTATTATTACTGTTTGAGTGTAATTAACAATATCGAATAATTATTAACAATAATCATTTTTTACCAATAATATTTAATTGTTATTGATAATAGCCCATTGTTATTAACAATAATATTCCACTGTTTAAAATTCTATAAATTATTACTGATTTTGTTTTTTAAAACTATCTTTTTTTATAAAACATCAATATCATATTTTTTACATAAATGTTCCTAACATGCAATAATAATAATAATAATAATAATAATAATATTACTCAAAAGATGTTTGGATTTTGTACAAATAAATCCCACAAAAAACAGCCCCCTCTTTCTGGGTTGTACCAAAATGTGTATCAAACATAAATAGTGACAATGATGCAACTACAAAAAATTTTAAAATCATTGAATGCTGAAAATCAACAATATTTAAAATTATTTCTTTAAGTTGTTTTTCAAAAAAAAAAAAAAATTTAGTACGTTTCATGACACAATAAAAATAACATCCCAAAACTGGGCGTGACTGTTGCTTATTAATTGGTTTAAATATTTTCAATATAATCGAAATTTCATGCTTTTATAAAATCTTTTTTTGCTTAATTTATTTAAGATACTACATAAAATATGTGGATTTATCAGAAATATTAATTTTTAAATCAAAACAAAAATATAACGCGGCTGATTTTTTTGTGTCAAAAATTAGAATTTACAAAATGAGATCCATTACAATAACTTCTCACTAGGAAGTTAATAAAATTGAAAGCATCAAAGTATTTTTAATTAATTCAATCGATAAAACATTACATTATTTTATTAAAAGTCTAAAAACAGTTATCTAAATCAATACCAACAATTACATTTTTGTAATATATATTTTTCCTCAATAATACCAAAGTATTCAAAAAGGTCAAAGTTCGTGACCTCCGATACAACTGTACCACAGAATTTCGGAAGCACCCAGAAGCGAGCGCGTACGTAATTAGCTAAGTTAACACGATTTTGTAGACTGCACCTCTTTCACGGTCTTCCTGACCACATCATCCCTCAGCATCCCCGAACGTGACGACGAGCCGCTTCTATGAATTCTATGAATAGTCGCTTTACTCAAACAATTATTTCCCAAACTTGATTCTAACGTCGTAGCCGTAATTACCGAGTCAGCCACGGTTTAAAGTCCTTCTATCCCTTCATACTGTCACCTCTCTTCTACCCATTTGCCCTCACCACAACCACGATTCGATATCTCGAACGATGTTGCCTCTATAACTAATCAGATTCCCTAAGGCAGACCAAGCTCCCGATTGCAAATTTACCCCACCTGCTGGCATCTCCATGCCTCCTGGCTACCTTCTCTCCCTCTGCATCCCACCATTCCTACCCATCACTACGCAAGAGAGGGAAACAAGTGCGAAAAAAGATACTAATTGCTTCTACATCTAACATCCGATCACCAATCACTCCAAGTCTGATAGTCAACACGTTTGTTGCATCCATGTTTATTCTCTAAATATTTTTTCTAACTTTTGTTTTTTAATTAAAAGCTTTGTGATATTTTGTGTTGATACATACTATAATGAAGTGAGTACACTTGAAAAGTAATTGATTAATTATTGGAAACAATTTTGATTTTATTTTAAATAAATGAGAAAATATTTTCTATTTTTTTAGATGCCAAGTCTTGGTCTATTTGTGTCTTATCTTTTTAGTCAAAGAATGTACTTTAACGACGACAAATTCCACGTTGAAGAATTCTTACATAGAAGAATGGGTGGTTAAAATAGAAGGAGGACCTCAAGTTGCTACTCTTTTGGCTCTTCAATCTGGTTATAAGAATCTTGGACTGGTAAGTTGATTTAGAAGAAAATAAAAAAATTCATCCCCTATTTTTCCAAATCTTCATACAATGATTGAATAAAAAAAAAAATGGTCTTAACAACTTTTAAAGCTTGTAATACCTTAAACAAATCCTTTCAAGGCATCATAAAAGGATCTCATTAACGAGAAAAAAATTTCCATCATTTTAGGAAGACACTAGTGTTTTTTTTTTTTTAATTAAAATAAATCCCTTCAATTCACTTGAAACTTTTGTTTCTTTTGAAACCGATGAATGTTCTTTAAATGAATTATCAGGAAAAAATACTTACCAACAAAAAAAATGATTTCGCATGTCTCCTAATGAACTTAGGAATGGAGATATAACTTAGTCAACAATGTCTTGGTTTGTAAGCCACGAAAAGTCATGGAAGGGAGAGGCGAAAAGAGATGCAATTAAAACTTGAACAACTGCTTAATAACTCAGTCAGTTTGTGACAATTTCAACTTGAAACTTTAGAATAAAGTCGAGTGAGTATATAATAAGAAGTTTATAACATCATCATTTTTCGTGAACAATAATTCGATTAAAATGAAATGTTATTGGATTTTTTGTATATAAACTATTTGTGAATAATGTTAGTATGAATAAGCATAACATTTCTATAATAAATAGTGAAACAAAAATTATCTTGCGTCACTGCTGTGCAAATTTAAAAAGAATAAAGTGTGGGTAAGAGAAGAAGATAATCCGATAAGAGTCAATATATTTCAAGTGTTCGCCAAACATACCGGAAATAAGCGCGCATATGCCAGAAGATGAGTATCTCTATGACGTACGAGTTGTGTTACTCATCCTGCCATCTTTATTTAAAAAGGATTAAAAAAAAATTGAAGACAAAAAAAAAACGATATTGCGAATAGAAATGTCTTTTTATATTGAGAATAAAAATGTCATGTAGTGTAAGGTGATAAATCATTTTTATAATTTTTATCAAGAGATATATTATACTAAATTTTTCTATTTGTTTGAATATGAAGGAGCTCAAGATTTTTTTGACACTAGTGAAAACAGAAAATTTTGCACAGTTAAAATTTTTTTAGACATTTAAAGTAAATTTAAGACATTAAAAAATAATAATAGAAAACAAATTTGAAGATAAAGTTGATTTATAAATTATTATTATAAAATAAAAATAATTATTCTTAGAATTGAAGAAAATGCTTTCAAGTGAAGAAAATAATTAAATATTAAAAATTTATTAAATTTTTTTTTTTACAATATTGTAAAATAATCGTATGTCTATATGATGGAATTTTACTGTAAACTGAGTGTTAAAGAAACTAAATACTTAAAGTGTTTTTAATGGTAAATACTATAAAAAAACTACATAGTAGTGGAAAAATTATAATAGTAATTTTGTAGATAAATTTTAAAAGCTTTTTCATAATATGTTAGAGTTTGTTTATGTTGCATAAAAATGTAAACATCTAAAGTGCTTAATTATTAAACATTTTAAGCGTTTTATTACTGAACACTTTAATTTTTTGGATAAGCAGTGTATTCTGGAAAATACAAATTTTTTAATGACAATTTACTGTAAATCCAAGATTTTAAAAACATGTCAAAATAACACGCAAGAAGTGTGTTCAATGTTTAAATGCAATTAAGGTGTTTTAAAATAACGTCATCCATTTAATTATCATCGTACTCACTTTTTAAGTGCGTTTAAGTGCATTAAAAATGACTAAAAGATTAATTAAATAGGTGAGATAATTTTGAAACACTTTAAATGCATTGAAGTAAAACGCTTTTTAAAATCTTGAATTAGCAGTAAATTTCTTTAAATTATCATCAATTAATTAAATAGCCAGTATTAAGATAAAAAAATAAACAAACAACTTGAATAGTTAGAACTCTAAATTCGATTGTATTTTAAAATGAGTTTCCGTATCGTACAGTACATTCTCTAGTTTTTATTTATTTTTCAAACAACTTTTTGGCTTGTTTGGATCTTAATTATATAAAATAATTACGCTTCGGATAGAATAAACAAAGGTAGGCGGACACGCACTGCACACAGTGAATTGTGGTGTACCGCAATACAGCACAATGCAACTGCGGAAGAATATAGTCGGAAAGTATAGCATGAAGGTGAAAAAAACTGAGATATGTTATGAGAGAAAAGTGACTTTTACAAGAGAGGAGTAAAAAAAATCATTTAAAATTAACAAGTAACATATTCGTCTAATTATAAACATACTTATTTGTTGTTTAATTTTTAAATGACAGCACTGTAAATCCCAGTTTTCCAACATGCATTATTTTAATGCGGATAAGTGTGTTAAATATGACGTCACCCATTTAATTAACATTGTAGTCACTTTTAAGGCATTTATAAGTGTGTAAAAAGTGACTACAATGTTAATCAAATGAGTGACGTCATATCTAACACACTTTACGCATTAAAATAAAGCATTTTGAAAAACTGGGATTTACAGTGAGACGTATCAACATTTCTAGATCTTGTACTTTTGTTCAAAGCCAATCAACATAACAATTTCCACGTTTTTACTTTCAGTAGGCATTCATTGATTACTACAACTACTCGCCCAAGCAGTGATTTTAATTTACTGTTGGTTGAGTTTTAAATGGAACCTATTTCTCCCCACATTTACCTAATGTCTCTTCGAAATCCTCGGCAAATTGAAAAAAAAAGTTTGATTAAAGGCGCCGAAATACAATATTTTGTGTTTAGAGTAATTAAAACGCAGCTTGAAGAAGTGGACTTAGGTAGAAAGTAATTAGCGAAGTGATAGAGACATTGAGAAACGAAAAAAAATGGTAGGACGTATGGAGATGGAGATGTTAGGGTGTTCACTGGAGACTGACGACGCCTGCAGGGGCTTAGAGCCAAGGGATTACACCAGAGACAGTTGGAAATCCGATCAAAACAAATGGACTGCGAAAACACCCACCCCTATTTCTCTATCTCTTCAATCCTCGTCTTCCTTTCTTCCCTTACTAGTCTCTGTATTCGTACACTCTATTCCCTTCATTCTCGTCCCATCGACCTCGCTATTCCCTCTGGACCTGCCAGTCCTTAGAAGACACAATCTGAATACCCGATAAGATGAATCGCCTACTGATCGTCAAGCAATGACTAAAAGAGAAAGAAGAACAATCTTTTATCGTTTTCTCACGTTTTTACCGTGATTCAAGGCACGACTAAACGAGTTTTTAAAATAAAATCATTATTCTTAAGAATTATTTCCGAGGTTTTTTTCTGCTGTACATCAGTTGGAACAAAAAAAAAGTCCATTAATTTTTTTTTTACTCCAAACCTCTTATTTCACTACCAGAATTCTGCTGAATACTTGTTTCAATTATTTTGTAACAATACAATCTTTTAACTTTAATTTAAAATAGTAACAAAAGTTTATGTCCAACAATAATTGTTGTGAATTTTTTATTTTAATAAGCATGAGCTTTTAATTATGTTGAATTGTATAAATAATTGGATAAGTTCCTAATAAGAAGACAGCTTCCTTTCTCAAATTTTTTTTTTTACATCTAGACGACTTTTTAACTAGTCTAGAATGATTCTTAGTGAAAAATATATTTTGTCAAGACCGGGAATCGAACCCAGGACCTTCTAGTTACGCGCTAGCTGCACGGCAAATGGTAGTTAGAGACCCTCAAGACAGAGTCTGGCAAGATGACGCCATATTGCTCAATTCCTGCCTAAAGTCCCGTGAGAACTGAAGGGACTTTAGTCCTGCCTGACTCTATCTTGCCAAACTTTGTCTTGAGAGACTTTAATGGTAGTGTTTTATTTCAATGCACTTAATGTGTTTTAAAATGTCGTCATCCATTTAATTAGCATTGTAGTCATTTATTAAACATATTCTAGTGCATTAAATTTATTACTTAACAACAATTAAACATGGGATATTGTTAATATTATCGTATTAACAATCATATGATTGTCTGTAATAAATAAAAAATAGAAACTTTAGTTGATTTTTAATCCAAAAAATAAAATACAATCCCACATAGTAATTGCTGTTAAAGTGATTAATTCAATTCATTTAATCGAATTTCATTTTAATTTGATTTAATTAAAGATCAATACCAAGCTATCATGCTTTCACATTGAGTTCTAACAGAGAATCGATTAATGTTTAAACATTTTTAGCGAAAGAAATAATAGATAATTGAGAAAAAAATAATTATTTCACTCTAAAGCAATAAATCTTATGAGAACAATTTTTATATTACGAACAAAGAAATAAAAAAGCTAAAATGAACAAAAAGTCTCAATTTTTAACAGACACGAAAAATGACTAGAAATATTGTGTAGATTATAAGAAGCACGTAAATATCTGTCCCAACCTACTTGAACATAATAAAAAGGCATTACGAGTTATCGAGCAGGTGTTGCCAACCATTGTATTATTAAAAGAGACCTTATAGCGTTTGAGGTTACACAGGAGTCAGAGGCTATTCAGTATACTGCCACGTGTCTCTACCAACAACCATTTATTCATGGCGCAATATTACTCAACCGAAATACGACTTTTAGTTGATTATTGTATAGGAGGGTGGATCTGGATTCAGGGGAATTGATGGGGAAAAATGTTACCTACTGTATACGTCTGTTTCCCTGATACAAACATCCCCCTATTGGGAATCAAAACTCTGCTTGACACTTTTTCATGACACTTACACCCTTGAGGAAAATTACACCAACATGATATCCATAGTCAGCTTATATTTAAGTGTACACATGTTTTCCATAAATACTATTTGCAATTAATTAAAATGTGTGCTAATTTATTACTTTATTATTATTGTTAAAGTTTAAAATAATTTTTTTTTTTTAATAAATTGTAGGTATTAGGTTTTGAAAATACCTACTTGTGGATCAAAGATCCTCGACAGATATCAAAAAGAGGACACTCAGGATTCAACGAGACACGATTATCAAACTTTAAAGTACATTCAATCATTTTTATACAATTTTTTTATTTTTATTATAACTATAAAATTAATAAATTCTTATTTTTTGACTTCTAGATCCTTTGGGCAGATCAACAGAAAGCATTCAAACGTCATAAAAGAGATTTTATTACTTTGGATTCAGAGAAGCCATTAATTCGTGAGAAAAGAATATTAACTTTTGATAATAACAATTATTTGAACGATTTAGAAGATCATCATAAAAATCAGCAAATGTTTAACGATGAATTATGGATGGACGAATGGTATTTGGTGAGTAAGTTTATTTTTTCAATCTACTTTGATATTTCAATTATATCCTAAAAGTCATCAGACTTGTATTTGAACATTCTGATCAATAAAGATTGAACATAGCTTTGTAATATTCATAGATAATAAATTTATAGCTGACATAAACTGTATGAATGATTGCTCATCTAAACGTGCAGTTGAATTATTTGTAAAAATTATTATTACATAAAGTCAATAACGACACCTATAAAATAGCTGTAAAATTTCTAGCAAGATACGAGGAGTAATAAAGACTTACCAAAGCTGGACCTGAATGTTCTACCGCTTTACCATCAGGGGATAACAGGTTATGGTGTCAAGGTAGCTGTTCTGGATGATGGTCTCGAGTATACCCACGAGGACCTGAAAAACAATTATGTGAGTATTATCAAACAGTCAATGATATCCAACAGTTGACAATAATCCACTTGATGGCTAATTTTTTGGTTTTTTTTATCATTATCAAGGATCCTACTATCAGTTATGACGTCAATGAACGAGATAACGATCCAATACCACGTTATGAAGTAACAGGTGCATAAATAAAAATTTTCATTTCAATCAGTTCATCAGCTTTAATGTTTTTTTTTTTTACCATTTCAATTATGGAAGTCACGTAGGGTAGGACTAGTTGAGCATAGAGGTAACTTGAGCAATCGAAATATCTTGGAAACTTTAAAACACACACTTTGTTTAATTTGCGACTAAAATAATTGGGTATAAGAATATTTCTTCTGTAGGAATCAAATGCCTTTGCTCAACTTACCTCACCTATGGGGTACGTTGAACATGTTTGACTTTATTTAAATCCTTCATTTAAATGGCTGTAGCTCTTAAGGTATCAGTTTTAGAATTTACATTCAGAATTTAATGAAACTAGGTATATAACATCATAATTGATCAGTTAAATTTTTGCAGGCCTACAGAGAACTGAAAAAAGATATTAATCTTTAAAAATTTTTGCCTTCACCATTAATCCTTTCGGGAAATCACAGACTTTATTTTGATTCACAACACTGGACGTTCAGATTTCTATGATAATAGTATCATTGTACCACCAGAATACTTCAGAATTCTAATCATTGAGAAATCATGACCGAGAGATTGCTCAACTAGCCCTACTCTACCCTCCTTACAATAAGTAATTGCTTCTATATTATCTTCTAACCCAAATTATTTTACATTAGTTTAATTGAAATAGATCATAAATTAAATCAGAAAAAAAAATAAATCTGACTAATTTGTTATTTAATTTCTTAACAATGTCCAACAACAAGGTCAATTTTGTATTCTGTGATAGTTTTATTTGATAAAAAAAAATAAAATAGTCATTGAACAGGAACAAATGCACATGGGACCCGATGTGCTGGAGAAATAGCAATGGAGGCGAATAATCATAAATGTGGAGTTGGAGTAGCATTTGAAGCTTCAATTGGTGGAATTAAATTACTAGACGGAATCGTAAATGATCGGGTGGAGGGTGAGGCACTGGGATATAAGCAAGATCTTATTGATATTTATACTGCTTCCTGGGGTCCTGCTGACGATGGAAAAAGTCTTGAGGCGCCTGGTAGACTCGCCACAGAAGCACTAGAGCGTGGCGTCTTGAAGGTTTTTATTTTTTAAATATTCTATGAATATTATATCGTATTTTATGTGTGTATATCGGAAAAACTTTATTGGTGTTTGAAAAAAAAAGAAAAAAAAATACGAAATTATTCATCAAATGCATCAATCAAATAGTCATTTAATGTTCAGGAACAATATTTAAGAGACTATTAAAAAGTTTCATGGTGTACAAATGATTGGAAAGTTTAATAGAAAATTGAATATATGTGAAAATAAAATTCCTTGGTGTAATAATAGAGTTATCGTATGTCTTCATTAAACATTACACTTCCAAGTTCATTAAAAGTTTGAACCAATTTTCATTATATCAAGAAGAATCAAAGCACCAACTGGTATTAAATTCGTAATGAATGCCATCAGGGTCGAAATGGACGAGGAAATATATACCTTTGGGCTTCAGGAAATGGTGGGTCTAAAGAAGACAATTGTGGCTGTGATGGTTATGTCAATAGCATCTACACTATTTCAGTTGGTTCTGCTAGTCAGACAGGAAAATTTCCTTGGTATGGTGAAAGATGTCCTGCAACTTTAGCGACCACCTACAGTAGTGGAGCTTATTATGACCAAATGATTGTACGTTTGCTGTTTTTTTTTTGCACACTTTTAAAGAACCAATTTACTTTTATTATTAATAAAATAAAATATAAAATAATATAGTCTATTTTATGATATACTTGATTTTACTGTATATCATTTATTTATTTTCATTTCTATTTTTCTAGGCAACGACTGATTTAAAAAATGAATGCACGACTCGTCACACTGGAACGTCAGCTTCAGCTCCACTCGCAGCAGGAATATTAGCCCTGGCATTGCAAGTGAAGTAAATTTCTATTCTTTTCTGTAATTTATCTTTTTTTTTTATTGTCATGATTTTTTTTTTTTATATTTCTTTTCTTATTTAATGGACATAAAAAAAAAAACTTACACGCTTTTCCTTTTTACCAATAATTGTTTTTAGTACCATAAAAATAGTACTAAACATACAATTTATGGAAGTACTGAAAAAAAATTATACTTCATGTGAATTTATTTATAAGAAAATTCTTTCATTCACAAAATACAAAAAATGTTGTTTATTAATGGTAATTATTTTTGCAATTATTATTTAGTACTTTCTAATAAAATTTTTTTAATAAAATTATTTTACTCAAGAATAATAACATTAAATTTAAACTTTTTAAAGAGACATTTATGTATGTATTTAATTTTCTTGTCCAAGCAAAGAACTCACTTGGAGAGATGCTCAGCACCTGGTTGTAAAAACTTCAGAATACAATCCTCTAAAGTAAGTTTTGTTATATTACACTTTTTAAAATTAAATGTAATTTAATTAACTAATTTATGAAGTCATGTAAACAATTCTTATAATTAACAGACATAATCCTGGTTGGAAAAAAAATTCTGCTGGATTTTGGTTCAACCCACGATTTGGATTCGGTTTGATGAATGCTCATGCACTAGTGTACGCAGCAGCTAACTGGACAAATGTTCCAGAAAAGAGAAAATGTTTTGTGCAGCCTTTACATTATCAGTGAGTATAAAAAATAACAATTAAATATATAAATAAACTCAGAATAGTAAGTATTTTATCATATCTTTACGTTTTGAGACATCTAAAAGCATATTAGAGAGTTTAAAAATAGATGTCTGAACGTACGTAACATTTTACGTACGTATATCAAATTTTTTCTTGATATCTCGAGAACCACTGAAGATATTGACTCCAGACTAATTTCATTTTAAAGGTAATACAATAAAGAAGATCTCAAAGAAGTTTTAACAAATTCGGTCCAGCTATTTTTTTTTTATAACAAAAAGACTGTAAAATAAGTCTGTTGACAACTCATATTATCAATAAATATTTAATGCATTTTTAAAAATAAATTAATTGAGATAATTTGTGATTGATGACATAAATAAATGTCTCATAAAAGTCAACGCTGATAGAAATGTTGATTTCACTAGTCAGAATGAAAAAAATAAAAACTGGAAAAAGAGATTCAACTTTTTCATAATATTTTTATATAGCTTGTTGATGTACAACTCAGTTCGCAGGCTTTAGTGTATGGTAGCCCAACAGCTTTAGCATTCAACGTAAACGAATGCTCGGATAAAGATACAAAAGTCAGTTTTCTGGAACACGTACAAGTTGAAACTACCATCAAGTATACAATTCGTGGAGCACTTCGAATGCATCTAACCTCTGCGACTGGTGAGAGATTATTTTAATATTTCAATCCTTCTCGTTTCTTCGTGTTTTTTCAGCTTTTTCTCATCATGTCATTTTATTCTTACATCTTGCAATCATTTTTCTTTACCCAATTTGAATTTTTATTTTTAAATTAACCGATTCAGATGGGTTTGTAGAAGGATTGAGAACAATTTATAATGATAACTTTAGTATGCATATTAATATTATTTATCTAACAAAGGCAAATGAATTTTAATAATTTCAATAATTCAGAATAAAGTGTGACATTTGAGAAATTAACAATTACCTTAAACAATTCAATTATTTCATTATTAAATTACTCAATGTTCCAAATTAAAATTCTTTACTTCATTACTTTATCAATTACTGCTACATTTAATAAAATGTTACCTAACTTTCTTTCATTAGAGTTGCAATTTAGTTCATCTAATTGTTAATGTTAAATTGAATAAACAAAATTTTTCTATCGGTTAAAAAATAATAATACATAATACCATGATGATATTGAAGAAATATTAAATCTAAAATGTTTATGATTGATATGGTAAATATAGATACTGTTGCAGAAATAAACTTTCAATTCATTGCAATTTGTTTGTACACAATAATTGTTGTCTGTCAATTTCTGGAAATTAGAAATATAAAAAAAAGTTTGATTAAATTTTTTTTCAAGATAATGTAAACAAAGAGGTAGAATGTAAATAAACAATGAAAATATTGTTATGAAAACACTAGAAAAAATTTATATAAAAAAAAAATTTCCTCAGGTACTAGAGTGGAAATATTAAATCCTAGGAAATTTGATACATCAGACGAAGGATTTATAAAATGGAAATTCATGTCAGTTGCAACTTGGGGAGAAGATCCGAGAGGTATTTGGAAACTCGAAATAGTTGACAAAGTAAATATAACTATTTTTTTTTTAAATATTATTGAACCACTTTGAAGTTTTATTGTATAAAATTTTATTGTTGTTTACTTAATGATTATTATCGATATTTAAAATCGATGAATAATTTAGTGAAAAATAAATAAACAAATTAATGATCAACTATTAATTTATCATAAGTTTTTAACTTCCACGTGGGATAAAAAAGAAAAATTATCTAAATTTTGCAATTTATAAATTATACTATTTATTAATGCAGAATCCAAACATCTTTTAAGTAATATTATTATCCATTACATGTTAGGAACATTTGTGTAAAAAATATAATAAGAGTGTCTTATAAAAAGAGATAGTTTTAAAAACTAGCAATTTTTGGTGCAGAATTAAAAAACTAACATAAATAATCACTAACTAGTTATGGTCTCATTGTCTCTTCTACACTTGTTTGACTTTCTTACAAGTGCCAATAATTAAGTGGACCATGTTCAGGACTTTAAAATAAAACCTGATCCAAATTGCTAGTTAGAATAAAATGCTAAAATAAATAGAAAAAAATCTAGCATTAGAAATTTATGGATAAGATCTTTTCAAAGCACTATAATTTATTGTTTTCTTTGAATCAATATACAAAAAATACATTTCTATTGTTACAGATTGGACCAAAAACTAATAAAGGAACAATAGAGAACATCACCTTAATTATTCACGGAACAGAAGATCCACCATTTTATCGACTGAATAAAAAAAATGATAAGATAAATAATAATATTAACAACATTAATAAAAAGAAGAATAAACACTTTGAAATAATGGTAATAAAAAAAAAACTTCCTTCCTAGTTTTCTGAATTAGTTAATGCACGTGTTTCGATTAATGGCAATCAAACAAAAGCCAATACTACTCGTGATAACGAAGGCAAATGTAATCATGGAAGAATATTAAAGAACTAAGTGTAAGCCTTTTTTTTGTTTCAGAGAGATGAAATTGAAAATGATAGAGAAAAGGAAGAAAACAAATGGAATGAAGCAAACAACGAAATAAATGATTTCACTGAAGAAGTTATTAAACCTGTAAATTTTATTCAAGTTGATTGGCTTCGAAGATTTTTATTTGGTTGGATTAACTAGATTTACTAAATCTACAATTTCACTCCTCTCATTTACCCTCGGGATGAAATTTTCAATGATTCTGACTATTTGTGTCAAGTGGAAACAGTCCAACTACCTAGCCTCAATCAAGTATGACAGAATGAAGGTTTCATGATGAGAATTATTAATATCCAAGGAAAACATCATTGTTCATGATTTTTAATTTATTCATTCTACCTACAAAGCTTTTATTTATATTTTGTCATGCATTACATAATTATTTATTACTAATTAATGCTGTTTTATCATAAATATTTGATATAATAACAATAAATATAGCAATTATTTTGCATAAATATGCAAAAATATCTTAGATAAAAGTATTATTTATTTAAACTTTCAAGTGACCTGATAAATACTAATAAAATTCAATTAATTAATGCACATCACTTGTGAAAAATCATGGCATTAATATTCATGAACTGCAACCAAATAAAAAATATTCTAAACTCATTGTTTAATCCAGTTATTATTTGTTCAACGATCGAATGCAATTTATTCTCCAATTGAATTTATCTTCGTTACTCTAAGCTCTAGGCATCAATAAATTTTCGTTATCATCATTTCTCATATGGTTTTTTTTGCAAATAAGAATAAACTAAATAAATAGATGAATGATAAAAAAAAAAAAGTGAATAAAAAATGACCGAGTCCGATAAGTAAACTATGATTGAAACATTTAAATGCGTGTAATTCATTCACGTGGCTGCGCCGGCGTCAAAAGTACCAAAAGGGGGTGAAGTTCGGTATAGCAACATAAGAGTTTGCTTTTCAGTCAGTAGCATGAAACATCTCGTGCCGTCCATATCATGAAATACAACATCCGGCCTCGAAGTAATTGATAAAAGAAATATTTATAATAAATTATCGGTAATTGATAATAAAAATTTTTTGACGGCTTTAAAATATTTTTAAGGAATATTTAAAGTTTTAGCAACGTGATTGAATAGTCAAGAATTAAAGTCATGTAATTATTTATCACTAAAAAGGTAAGTGAGATCATTTTTATTCAATAAATAAACTCAATATTGTTTTTATTTAAATTTGATACTCAAAGATATGATTATTAAAGTGTAAATAATTTTTTATTTAATAGAAATATTAATTTGGATAAGTTAATTGTATAAATGAAAAACATTACAAAACTTTCTATTGAGCAGATTGTAATTTTATATCAAATAAGTTGACGTATTTTATACTGTGACTGAACTAGCTGTGCTAATTGATCTCGAGGCTAATTAAAGGCTGTACACTGTAATACATATGCAGAGTAAATCCTTAATACCAAGGAATATAATTAACTTAATTACTATTATCTTTCAACTTTTAATATCAAATTTATAAAAGCTATTAGGTACTTTTTCAGTTTATCAATAAAAAATTCTTGTTTATTAGAATCCGTAATTTTACCATCTTTTAGTTCTTTTTGTTTCTAACTAATTCCTATTGTTATAAACAATATACAATTGTTTCATCATTTCAAGTTATTTATAACAACATTTTATTAATATTCATCGAATTTAATAATAGTAATGATCATTCAATAAATTAAAACTATTTCTAATTGTTTATAACAAATTAAAGTTATTATAAAAAATATGTAATTATTTAGAGTCATGTAAAGTCATTGAGAATAATATTGTATTGATATTAATCTAATTTTTTAATAATATTAATTATTCAATAAGTTGAATTTATTTCAAACATCGAGATATTGATAAAACACCTGATATACGCACGTACAATTGTACGTACGTACGTACATACATTTTTAAACTTCCTAATATGCTTTCAAAGGCCTTAAAATGTAAACAAATGATAAAATAACGGATTTTAAAAATTGACTCAATGATAATACCTTCCTAAAAGGAAGTTAATAAATAAAATCGAATTCAAGCTTTAATTTTACATTAAAATCCACAGTCTTGTTAATGGAACACTTTTTAAGATGAAGAAAGTAGTGCAAAACGGCAATATTCTATAAATATATTTTTTATTATACATTATTATTGCCAACAAACATAAGATGTTTAAACAAAGTAATTTTAATTAAATGATGGAAGGAAAAGTAAATACAAGTGTTTACCTTTCTATGGACTAGAATAATAATTAAAACTAGTTTTATGATCTCAGGTTGAATGAATACATTTTATAAATAATTTCTATCAGACCGAATGTATTCAAATAAATATTTCCAATGGAAAATAATTGGAGAAACTATTTCCTATCATTTTTTTTATTAAATTAATAACAGAAAAAAATATATTGGATTTCATTTTATCTGTTTTTAAAAAATTCGCAGTGAATTAAAGTTTAATTATTGATTAACTTTTCTAATGATATTATGTCATTTAACTGATAATGTTATTTATGATTTTCTTAAATAATAATCTTTTGTTATCATAAAAGATGTCATGTTGTCAGTGGAGGATCAAGTAGAAATGAATCATTACCAACTTCAAAGCTCTACAAGATGAAGCCTTTACTTTTTAGAATTTTTTTTTATAATAATGGTTTCTTTCATGTTGGAACAAAGCTTTAATAAATAAAGTAAATGTCAATTTTGATATTCATAAGTCGGGTTCTTACTGATAGAAAAAATCAAAAATTGAAAAAAAAATTCTTTTATAATATGAATTTTAAAAAGTTTCACCAACTTTTTGTATAAAAGTTCAAACTTTTTTAACTGTGAATTATTTTTTTTAAATATATAAAATAATTTAGGACTCAAACTCAATTAAAAGTCCATTTTTTTCTAGAATTCTCACTGGTGTAAAAGTTTATACCCAAAGTTATTTGAAATAATTAAATGATCGATTATTTGACGAGCTTTTGATTAACCTTGATTCAGATTACTCATCATAATTCTTTATTCATAAAACATTTGGTAAATTCCTATTTTATGATCCAATATTTCAGGTATTATCTTTACATATTCAACTACCTACATAGTGTAATATTCTTGAGATTTTTAAAATTGAAAAAAAGTGAAATTGCATTTTATTCCACGAAGAAGAAACATAATTTAAATCGAATAGAATCAGATACTTTAATAAAATAATGTTAGATTGTAAGATAAAAAAAATATTTTATCATAAAAATTTTTTATACTTCATATGAATGTAGAAAATGAAAAGTGAATTAGCTTCATACCTTTCTTATTTTATTTTTTACTGAACTTTTTTTTTATGAAATTACATTTTCCAGCCTTTTTTCATGTAAATTTTAAGTTATTTTAACTGAGATTAATTTTTTCTCAAAATTTTTTCTTACTGCATTAAAATTAAAGCTTATTAGAAAATATAACGTTTATTTTAATAAAGAAAAAATTAATTAATCATTTAGAACTCGAGTTATTCGAAATTAAAGTTCACTTTTCTCTTCATTTAAACCAATGATAATTCACTACAAGACTAAATTTTTTATTATTTATTCAGAAACAATTATTTTATAATTTTTATAAACAAAAATATAATGTCAATGCATTTGTAATGAATACTCTATCAAAAGTAATCAAGTTTTATCGTAATGTTTCTAAAAAAAAAAATAAGTATTAATAATTTTAGTCTAAATAAAGTCGCCTATAAAATAGGCATGGACCTTCTATTTTTAATCTTATTAGCTTTTTCAAAATAATAGAAGACTAATTAATCAATATGCAGAAATCTAGTGTGGATATTTAATAAAAAATATAAATTCTTGCTTCAGACAATCCTGGGTCATTTTTTTGATACGATCCGGAGCGATCGGAATACCTCAAAGACATTCCAAATATATCTGTAAAAATTTAAATATTTAAGTCACTTAATGAATATCTTAACAGTATTTTACAACGTTGTGGTTTTCATTATATAATTATAAAAAAATATTTTAAACAACTTATACTAGAAAACTATCTCTAAGTAGATAATTCTCATTGTGTTCCATGTAATATGACATTAATTATCACTGATTATTATACTAAATAAATATTTTTTATTGTATTTTTCACTTGAGTTTAAAAATTCATTAATATTACGACTGTTTAATTGGTAAAAAGCTTGAAAAATAAACAATAAATTTAAAAAACTATTAAATCAATTATGAAAGAATTCAATTAATTCTCGAAAAAATATTGATATTAAATTATAATAAAATAAACAAACATTCTATGCAAATTGAAATATAAAATCAAAACAAACTTTCACGTTCTAAAATTTAGAAAGGGAGAATCTGTGAATTACAACATCTGTTCTCCAATTGACCTGAATTCAATTTGATCAAAATGCATTTTTTAAATTTTCATATAAAAATGACATTACTATATAAACTTACTGAATGTAAGCATAATTTCTATCGACTTTTCAACAAAGTTATGTCAATTATTTAAAGTTTTTCAACACACCAACACACTAGTCATCAAACTAGTTCTATCAACAACTGTTGAATGTTTGTTCGCAACAGTTATCCAGTAGTTCTTTATCAAAGTGAAATCTCCATTCCCATTTTCCAACTTTCAATAATTCAAACTCATCTATTTAAAATAACACTTTACTGTTGAAAATTATTTTTAGTTTATCAATATAAATTTTGAGGCTGCTTTAAAAAACAATAAATAATAGCATATTAATTAAAGAACACCTTGACTGTGAATATTCAAACCAACGAGTGAGATTGATAAATACGATCACTAAATAATACCAGAGCTAAATAAATCATCATTATAGACGTCAAATACGGTTATTTAATACCACTTGATCAAAAACAAATACAAGGATGCAGAGATAAAACAATTAAACATTTTCCTCATCAACATAAAGAATAATATTGATATGTAAACATTAAAATTAAATATAATGTTGATATAAATATAAAAATATCAAGTAGTTGAAATAAAGTAGAATTGTTTTCTTAAGAAAGGACTTCATAAATAGAGAAAAGATATAAGGAATGATGAGGTAGATATAAAAATATAATAATAAATATAAAAAGATAAGTGATTTAATCCTAAGCTGTAGCTTTCATATCAATGCTCCCTTCATTCCACTACGATTAAAAGAGCTTTCCTCATTCGGTGATCAGGGGTATTCTTCAAGTTGTGGAAGTGACCCGACCGACTGCCCTTAAGCAAAAAATAAACTCGGGCTATTTTAGTTACATCAGGAGTATTTGGGATGAAAAAATGAGTTTAAGGAAAATGGAATTTTTTTTTCTTGTAATTCGTAGATTGATAAAATTTTTTTTATCATCTATACATGATAATTATTTTAATTATAATCAATTTCAAGTATACTTGTACACGGAAAAAAGCATAGGAATTTTTACTACTTAGTTTAAAGTAAAATTTACTAGCCAAAAAAAAATTACAAATTAGTAGTTTTCTTTTTTTTTAGTAATAATAGTTAACAAACTTGGGAAAAATAGCTATTCTGGTTAGTGAAAATTTCTAGAAAAAATTAAAAAATTCTGACATTTATTTTCCATTTAATAAATTTGTTAAAAAAACTAGTAATTTTTAGTTTTTTTTTGGCTAGTAAATTTTACTTTAAACTAACTAGTAAAAATTCCTATGCTTTTTTCTGTGTAGGTATTGGATTAATAATATTTTCTAAATTAAGGTTAGATGAGAAAAAATAATTTTTTTTAGTTCTGATTTAGATTAAAATGTTTTCTAGGAGTAAGTGAGATTTTTATGGTTTGATGTGAAAGCTTGAGTAGATAAATGTCACCTATTGTTTTAAACAATGAATTTGGACAATGGGTTCAGCATTGAAATTTAAGTCAAATATAAAAAAGTTTTAAAACATAGAACACTGGAAAACTTATTCTTCTGCAATGAAAAGAAATTTTCGCTATGCAAAACAGTGTCTATGATTATGATTAATAAAAAGAATTAAAAATATTTTATTAATCTTGAAAAAAAAGGTTAAATCAACGAACATTAGAATGAACTACAACTTAGATAATCATTTTCAAAATAATCGAGCTTAATAAAGATTTATTATTTTAAGTAACCATCAGAATTACATTTATAAAAATATTACCATGTCAATTTAAAAAAAATATTTAATTGCGCAAGTGTGATTTTAAATCTGATTTAAGTATTTTAATATCAAGAATAAAATTTCATCAATTTTGCATCAAATATTCAATATTCCTGATTCAGAAAAAATGTTTTTCCAGTGTAGTTCAAAATGTCTGACTAAACTTGAATTATTCTACTGTTAATAATTTTTCCTTCGGTTCCAACTGAATACAATGCAGAGTTCGGCATGAATATTTTTTTTGTAGTAGTATTTTTAAACAAAATTATTAATTTATTCTTTAATGGATGATTTCGAAAATAAAAATATCAATTACTGAATAATCGTTACAACATTAATTATTGCAACCCAGGTATTATTTTTTTTTTTTTTAAAAACATGTCTATAATAGTGCTCACTCTAGTAAGATATTGCAGTCTTCTCAGTAAATAAAGTTATCATTCATATACCAGTCATATATCAGTCATGGCTCAGTACAGAACCATTGCTCGATGACTTCACATCAGTCCCAATGCTGGCCCAATAATGGATCTGTTCCGTCATATTCCTACTAGGACATTTGCCTGATAATATACCAATGACATTAAATTTCAAAGAAAAAACTTATACTAACTTTTAAATACCTTACTAATAAAGTCTGATTTAAGTAGAAAAATCATGCTTTGGTCAGACAAAAATGTAACATGTTCAGTGCATCGTATTACCTGAAATTAATTTAAAGTTTCCCTAGAAAGTCACAAAATTGTATTTATTCTCTGTAAAGAATCTTAACAAAATCAATAACTAAATGAATCGACAAAATTTATATCACTGTAAATTTTTAATATTCCGCTACTAAAATGAATCCAGTTGATTACTTTTTTTACTTGAAATAAATTAAATTGTAGAAGAAGTTAAAAATATGCTTCCTTGGATAATAATCATCGTTGATTAAATTGGAAAATTTGAATAATCACAAGAAAAAAAAATGTCCTGGTTAACTATTAAAATTTTTATGCAAATTATAGCATTGATTTTTTGTTCTCAATAATCAGTCCAAGTCGGTTAAGTGTAATTTAAAATATTAATTAAAATTAGCATAAATAAAATATATTTACTTCCAGAACAAACATGTTAAAACTAAGAAACTTTAAATTTTCTTTCTTCTTACATCTAAATAATTTTTAATTCTATTGAAGTCTGTGCTTTTATCTTAATAAATAGATAGATATTACTTGATACATTATAATTTTTAAAGTTTTATCAATACTTTATCATTAATACATGTCGATAAAACAGTTTTTTATTATTTTTAATGAATAAAATATTATAAATTTCATATTTATATCTATTGGCTAGTAATAATTTGAGAAGTATACAAAAATGCATCCTCTATTATCTGTAATGATATCCTAACTTATTGTCAATGACATCAGCAGTAATGATACTCTACTATTAATCATTATAACACAGACATTACTTCCCCAATACAACCTATAAAAATAGATATTAATAGATTTTTTATAAAAGAGTTAAAAAAATTTTATATCTTCCTGTTTTTATCATGAATCATTGACAAAAAATATGTGATAGCTTTTGCACATTTTAACTATGAAGCTGAATGCTCGTAAATTTAGTAGTGCTTCTTATCAATACTTTTGTGAAAATATATTTATTCAAGTTAAAAAAAAATTTTACAAAAAATACACTCCATTAAATTCGAATGAAAGTATCCATACTTGAAATAAACTATACAATCATTATTAATATCTTATTAATATTTATAGGAAATTATTTCATAAATGAGTTTGAATAAAATTGGATGATAAATTAAGTAAAATATCATTAAGCCATTGTCATTAAGAGATAAAAGATACTGTAAGTTTTATTATCATCACGACTATCAGTCTTTGTCAATAGCAAGTATGCATTTGTCAGTTTGTTCATAGAACAAAAAAAAAATTACAATAAAACGAACATATGTAGAAAAACAAAAAAAAAACTAATTTATTAAAAACTTACTTTGCATAACGTACACACAGTTTTAGCATTCTCATTTTCATTTATTTTTGATAAGTCTAAAAATAGCAAGTAAAAGAACAAAGGTATAAAGACCAAAGTGCAGCATAGGTATCATATGTAGATGTTTAATTTTTGAGGGTATGAACAATCTTGTAAGGTCTCTTTAAAGTCTTGAAACAATTTAAAATGTTACTGTTCAACTTTCATCACATACCTCACCCAATTGAATGAATTATTTCTCTATTGTTTCTCAAATTCACCTACACGTTTTTCTCTTTTTTTTTTTCTTCACTTTAACAACTTGACTTCCTTTCCAATCGTCATTGACCTCGTTTTATTTCAAATCTATAGGCATTCACACCAATATGCATGCTATATAAACTTTTCTTATAATTCAACCATTCATTTATCCAATCAAAATTACCAAAATACTTTCTAACTTTAAATAAATATTATTAATGTGATTTCATCGTGATTTTTTGATTGATAAGAAAAATATTTACCTAAAAGTCCATTTAAAACTTTTTATCAGATCTAATAAATATAAAGTATAACTTTGAGTGTAAATCATCGATTATATTGTTGATAAAAATTTTTTTAAATATCTGTATTAAACATGACAATGAAATTTTTTTTTTAAACTGTTAATCATTAAATCAATCAAATTGATTACTTTCAGTTTGAATTATTATTAACTTCCTATTAGGAAGTTCTTGTAATGGGGTCGATTTTTTAAACTCGTCATTTTATCATTTTTTTTACATTTTAAGGCCTTTGAAAGCATACTTAAAGGTTTAAGAATGTATGTACGTACGTATTATTAGCCGTACGTGTATCCGGTTTTATTTTATTTTCGATATCTCGAGGACTAATGAAGACATTGACTCCGAACTAATTTTGTTTGAAAGATAATGTAATGAAGAAGATCTGAAAGGAGTTTAAACAAATTCGGTCTTGCCATTTTTTATTTATAACAAAATACTGTAAAATAAGTTGAGTAAAAAAAAGGTTAAAATAGATTCTACTTATTGAGTGATTAATATTAGTTAAATAATAAATTAATATCAATACAACATGATTGTTGATGACTTCACATGACTCTAAACAATTATATATTATTTATAACAATGTCGATTTGTTATAAACAATTAGAAACAGTTTTAATTGATTGAATAATCATTACTATTATTAAATTCGATGAATATAAATAAAATGTTGCTATAAATAACTTGATATGATGAAACAATTGTATATTTTTTATAACAATACTAATTCGTTATAAACAAAATTACGGATTTTAATAAATGGGAAGTCAGGGTTCAAAATGAACCTAGACCCATTTTCAATAAATAGTATTGAAGTAAGTCAGCCACTAGAACATAAACTGCATTACTAAAATAAAATTTAAAATATTTATTAATTCCAAATGTAACAACAAATAAAATAAAACACAGTCAAATATGAATATTAAAAAATGTATGTTATGAGAAGCTTTGGATTATAAATCATCTATAAACAGTCAAGTACATGAAAAGCTCTTTTATATTGATTTCAAAATAAAGTAATATATTTTCATATTTACAATATAAGTAATATACTTCGTTCAAGTATATTAAATAGATAATTCTTTAACCCGATAGATTTTTATGTCATACAGTTCAAAATAAATGCCCTAGTTTCAACAATTGAATATTATTTCTACAAATGCTAATATGTATAATTGTACATGTATAAATGTGTATCTCCATATTCTCCAGTACATATTTAATCATTTGTATTGTCAATAGATTGTAACTTCCCACTATTCTAACGTGTTCACTCTGTGAGCTTGTTATTTATCAAAGTCCAGAAAAGCTCTCTCTGTCTCTCTTGTAATTCGATCACTTATTTGATTACAAGCGCAGAAGATCCTTGAAAATTGCCAATAAAAAAAAAGTAGTTGATTACGTTTAGTCTATTTTCAGTATCAAGATTTTAATTGTTTCAATTTTTTCACGTTTTGCGATTGGTTTCTTTTTTTAAATTAAAATAGGTAAATGGAAGCTTTATCGTTTAGAATGTGTAGTGAATAGCAAGTTATTTCATAGGATTTTAGAAAAAAATAAATTCCAGTTATTCGAGAAATAATCGAATGTAAAAAAAAATACATTGGAAATGTGTGAGATTGCACTGAATAAACAACATTACCAGATCAAAAATAATTTTATTCTTAATTATAGTAATATTGACATCGCAAGGTTTTTATACAAAAATTAACTTCACTCTGTGTTGATACAGGAATATTATTTTTCCAGTCCGTAAAAGAGTAAATAATGAATAAAAGCTTCTATTGATATTGAAAAAAAATATTAGTAACAAAAAAAGCATAGTTGTTATAAACGAATAATTTGATAAGAGAAGAAAAAAATATTTGAACAAATGATAAAAAATTTGTTTTTTATTTTTTAGGTAAATTAGACTAAATGCCGAAGTATTTGAGCATTTAAAAATGGGTGAACTTCAAAGAACGAGTGGTACAAAAATAAAAACTCCAGAGCCATTGGATTTTGAACCTGATGCTGCGAGCTTTTATGAAAAAGCACAAAGTAAGTAGTTTTAATCATATTAAATTATATACATTAATATTTTTCTTTTTTTTTTTTTTAATATTCTGATCTTTCTTTATGGTTAATGATAATAACACTCTCACGTGTTTAGCGTATAATATCGTAAAAATTTTTTTTTATTAAAGTAGTATAGCCAAAATATAAAAATAATAATAGTACGAATAGTAAGTGTATTATTACATTATAGACAAACATCCAAATAAATTATTCGGCAAGTTTGAAAACGATTTAACGTCTGTTATAATAAAAAATCAATGATCAAATATCGTAGTATTTACATTGACACAATAGAAAACTGTTCGTTATTCCTCCGGTGAGACCAAAATTCGCATATTTCCAGAAAAATTTGGCATAACAATGTATTTAAAAAAAGCTTACAAATTGAGGAATTTATTAATTTAAAAAAAATGTATGTCAACGATCATTAGGACAAGTTATTAATGATTAATGACTCTAAACAATTATACATTGTTTATAAAAATTTCAATTCATTATAAATTGTTTTTTTTTTTTACTTTTTTTCTATTCATGTAAATATTATTACTATTTATCTGTGGCCCTAGTCTGGCTTTGCTGTTGGGCCTATGTAAATGTTTAAATAAATAAATAAATAATTAAAAATGGTTCTAATCTATCGAGTCATCATTACTATGATTATATTCGACGAGTATCAATCGAATGTGATAAAAAATTTTGCGTGATTAAATTATTGTATATTGTTTATAATAATAGCAATTTATTATAAATAAAAAATAAACTAAAAGATGATAAAATTACGGATTTCAATGACTGAGAAGTTTTTTTTCAAGGCCCAAACCCTTTTCTTTTTTTGCAATGGGATTTTGTATATTATTAATTATGATGAGATTGATTTAATTATTGTAATCAATTAAAAAAAATAAATGGTCTTTTAACAACCCACACTACCTCAAGTACCAAAGTATTCTCTTTCATTTCATTTTATCAAAGAGTAAAACAATTTGATGAAATTTTTTAATTCTCTTAACCTTGAAAAAAGTAATTCGTAGGCGCCTTGTTATCAATGCATAACATGCACATACTCTCCAAGAGCCATTATTGTAAAATTGCTCCCTCGATATTTCCAAGCACGTCCGATGATTCAACTGTATCTATTGAATTTTCACGTCACTATTCGAATCAATTTGCAATTTATTCATTTACACTTTGAAATGAAAAATCTATTCTCTATCAATATATCCAGAGATTTTGATTTTATTTTTTTTTTTTTATAACATCATTGCTCTATTCATATACTTTTTTTTTTTAACATTGAACATGAAAAAAAATTTTTGTTCTATGTAGTCTTTCAATTTTTTATTACATTTATACATTTTCTTTCATCTTTAGTACTTAAAAATGAACTGCTACTACATGAAGCAGTAATTAAAAATGAACCAGAAGCTGTAAAAAAAGTTTTAGCTGAAACAGTGGATGTTAATTCAAGAAATAATGTAAGTTTTTGTAAAGTTTTTAAAGTTAAATTGAAAACTTTCTTTTTTTTTTTTTTGTCATTCATTAAGAATGAAAACAACTAAATATTGAATTATTAAATACTTGTTTTTATAAAAATTTATTTTAGTATGGTCGAGCTCCAATACATTGGGCTGCATCAAGAGGAAGTACAGAAATAATGGAAATGTTAATTAACGCTGACTGTGACATCGAAGCAAAGGATAAAGTAAAAACTTGTTTCCTTCATTCTTTTATTTAATTACTAATCAGTTCAATGAATACTCAATTATTGTTATAATCAACATCATCAAAATTACTCTTAATCATTTTATTTATGACTTTGATGATTCAATTATTCAATTAATCACATCAATTTATTGGAATGCTAATAATTCATTGTTGTCTAACCTCTTTTTTTTTAGTATGGCATGCGCCCATTACATATGGCTGCTTGGTATGGACATCTAGAAGCTGTTAAGATGCTGATTGATGCTGGTGCTGATACATCAGCTATTAATAAGGTATTGCCAAGTTTCAATATTATTTTATTAACTTCCCAATGGGGAGTTATTATGGTGGGTCCAATTCTATGAATCCCAAATTTGGACATATCTCTACGTTTCGAGGTCCTTAGAGTTGTATTCATACAAAATAAATAATTAAATATTATTTATAATTATTTAATATTATTAATTACTGTAACACAGTAATAATAATGAAAATAATAATAAATAAATTATCAGCACTTGTTTGAAAAAAACTCCATAAAATCCTATCAAAACTTCCTCATACAATTGTGCATTTTATACTCTTGGGTGTTCGAAACTATATTGGTTTTCAGAAGAGTCAAAAGCTTTTTGGAATATTATATTATGTAAATATTCTTGGTATTTATATGACAAGGCTTTATTGATATATCTAAACTTAAAAAAAAACAAAAATTAATTCTTCATCAGAAAGGTCAAATTTAGTATAACTATGATCCATCAAACTATTTGCTTAGACATAACAAAGAATCTAAAAATACATTGCACTGATCCATCATCAATTACAATAATAACTAAAAATGATTTTCCTCACTCTATCATTTATTTATTTAATTAAAAACTTCTTGAATAATTAATTACAATAAACCAATTTTCTTAATTCAACAGAAGAAATGTACACTCTTAATGTGTGGAGCACGTGGGAATAGTCCAAAAATAATTGAATATTTTACAAAAGCTATTGAAAATTTAAACAGTGATGCAACAGATTATTTAGGAGCAACTGCTCTCCATCATGCTGCAATCTCTGGACATCCAGATGTCATAACTGTCTTGTCAAACATTCCGGAAATTAAACTAGACTCTACAGACAAAGTAAGTGTACAATGTAAACCTCTGATATTGGATGGGAATCATTTCCATCTATATATAACCTTTGAAAATCATTTACATAACGTTATCAAATATTTAAACAACCCCCCTTTTTATTCAATATTAATTTTCAAACAAAAACAATAATCATCCTACATCAGGATGATATCAATACCTAATTCTTCAACATGGTCCTCCATTTCTATAATCAACATTGAAATAACTGTCAGTGTTCCTAGCAATAGCAAAGATCATTTCATAATATGATCATAGTCATGTTAACATCCTAGCTTGTATATAGAACATGGTAATTATTCCTAAACATCATCAGTTGTATTATATTCCCAAAGCATTTTACTTGATTAAACAACAATTGCTTCAACATGACAAACATTCACGACATTGGATCATTAGAAAAGTTAATTAACACTTCAGCATTATTATAAATTACATTTTCTGTAAAAAAAAAACTTCTAATGAAAATTTATTGTCTTATTTTTTATTTAGAAGGGACAGACTCCATTACATTACGCTTGTAGTGAAGGACACACCAAAGCTGTAGAAGTTTTTATAAAACTCGGAGCTAACATGGATTGTCATGACAATGAAGGCAATAGTCCTTTACACATAGCTACAAGGATAAGACATACTGAAATAGCACAGATCCTTTTAAAAAATGGTGCTAATACTCAAATTGTTGATGAACATGGATTTGCACCTATTCATATTGCTGCTAGTCAAGGATGTAAAGGGATTCTTAATCTTATTATAGATCATAATGAGAATATTATCAATAAACAATGCAGAGTAAGTACTACTAATCATTGCTATTATATTCTTCATCTATTGTTTTCATTCATTGTTCAATACTAGTTGGTAAAATAAGTTATTTTTTTAGAATCAGTTTAGATGAATAATCGTTTTTTTATTTTATCTTTCAGGAAGGAAATACTCCTTTACATTTAGCTTGCCAAAATAATCAAATAGAAACTGTGGAAATACTGATAAAAAGAGGGTCAGACATCAATAGCTTTAACTCAGTAAGTTTAAAAGAAATTAAAAAAAAAGAGAAATAAAGATAAAACTACAAGTTGCCTTAGGATTATGGTAATCTAGCTATCACTTTCCTCATATTTCTTTTTTAATATATGTTTTATTTTCATCTGGGATTAAGCATTGTTAATATACATACAATTTCAGTTAAACAGTCAGACTACTTTTTATTTTATATTCGTAAGCATATCGATTATAATTAAGCTAGACTTTATTCCTAAACTATCTTTGATAGAGACTCCAAACTCCAATGCATATTGCTGCAGAAATGGGTCACACTGATGTTTGTAAACTTTTACTAGCAGCTGGTGCAAACATCGAACAAAAAGAAAAGGTAAGTCATTACATACTTTTTGACAAACTTGATTATAGTTAGTTAAAATTAACTTTGCTATAAAAATGATCAACTAACAAAACATTCAATCACCTTTTTGAAATCTAACTCAATGAATGGCATCATTAAAATAGCATAAAAAATTTCATGTTCTAGTTTTAAGTATAATAATTAATAAATGTCTTTGAACTTTTTGTGCTTATTAATTGCAGGGTGGACGTACACCACTTTTTATAGCAGCAAAAGGAAGTTTCACAGCAATTGTGGACATGATTATAAAAACAGCAAGACTAGATTATCCAGTAAGAAAATTGTTAAAAAACTTCCAAGTTTCATCAACTTAATTGATCTTACCTACATAGTAGTTTAGTTTTTTTTTAATATTATTTAATCATTGTATCAGCTTCATCGTGCATATATCATTGCAACAAGACCAAATGTAATCAGTTATAAAGTCATTCATCTGTTTCTGTGCTCAGAATAATTTGGATAATGAAAATGACGAATCAAGTCTATCAAGAAAAAAATCTATCAGAGAACAGTATGGAATAGTTGCAGAAAATGTTCGTTTGATGCTTTGGAGACTGGCACACAAACACTTTGACCCAGGAGATTGGAAAAAGCTTGCTCTGCATTGGGCTTTCACTCAGGAACAAATTCAAGCCATAGAACATCAATATACTGGTAAATGAATTTTTTTTCTTTATCCTTGAAGTACGTTCAATAGGTATATTACATTTTACGTCCGTTTTTAAAAATTAATCGAACCATTAATTTCATATCATTCTAGAAATGCAATAAAGTTCTGTGATAATAATAATAACTATTGAATTAAAATTAACATATATTGATAGACCAAGTGTACTGATCAGAAATGAAGTAAATTTCTCATGTATAACTATGATAACTTTGATAGCATGATGAATAAATCAGCTAAAGTGGCCAAAGTTGTTTCAGTTTGCTTCATTATCTCGATCGATGACTTGTAAACTATAAACTTATTCAAACTATATAACACTAATAATATCTGATAATGTTGGTAGGAAATGGTCTTAAACATGTCCAGAAGTGATGTTGATATCTTAAGATACTTTAGACCAATAATTATACTAAATCTAAACCTGATGAATAACAATAAAATTATCATCAAACTCCAAAGTTTAGTTATTGAATAATAAAAATTATAAATAAGAGTAGTTATCACTAAGCAAATTGTTAGTTGGTTAGTGAGATTGATAAATATTGATGTATAGAATTTTCAGGAGGATCAAGTTATAAGGAACATGGATACAGACTTCTGATGATTTGGGCATCAAGTTTATCACCAAATATACAAATAATCAAAGAACTACAAGATGCTTTATATGCAATAGACAAAAGGAATATTGCAGGTAATAATAATGACTTATTGTATAAATTGGATTTTAATCTGATATTTGAAAGGAAATGTCTTTTTTCTGATTTTAGATTCAATAGCTAAGAAATTCGAGCAAGCTAGCAAAGAAAAATCCCAGAAATGCTGTCATAAATGCACTCTCACTTAAATCCCTCCACTGAGACTGATATTTTTTTTTATTAACAAGATTTTAAAGTAATTTTCAAAATAATAGTTATATAAGAAGAATCAAGTCTACTATAAAACAATGAAATAAAATAAAATAATCCATCGAAAGATTTATGGTGCTTCTTTCATTCCTTTTTCTCTCTTCTAACCACCACTAATTGATAGACAAATTATGCTTTCATTATAAATTTTAATGTAATCAGGCTTCTTTATTAATGAATTTATCAAGAAAAAAAATGAAAAATGAATTTAACTGATATTTAACTCACACAAAATGTAACCGAACATGACCGCTTGTTGATGTAAACATTCATCAATGACTCCAAACTCACCATGTTTGATAAAGTTTTTTTACTAAACCACTTCACTTACAAACAACACACTCCAAAACACTTAATCACACACTTTGCACACACAAAACATTGTTCACTAACACTTCTAAACAAACATCTAATATTACACTTGAATAAATTTCATTTACGATCGATATTATGATAAACACACCAGAATAATTCAAAACGTTACTCTTTTTTGTTTTCTCGCGAATAAAATGGCGCATTTTTGATCGAGCTGGAATCGACGCCCGCCAAACTTGATCATCCCTACTCTCCGACGCCTGCGCACAAAAATGCGCAATAACAAAAATGCGTTTAAAATTTCGAGTAATTAATAAATAATCATTTTTGCGAGTAGAAATAAGTTAATTCTGTATTTTAAAGTCAATAAATATAAAAATTTTAATAACTAAAGTATACATTTTGATTAATATTATTTATTACGACTGACGCGTAGACTCATAACCGCCAAAAAACGATCAAACGTATGGATGACACCACGCTCGATTGTGATTTTGATATGATACTCTAATTGCAAATTTAGTTTGAACTTGAAATGAAGTATTTACATATTTATTGATATACAATTATTTTACTAACGAAGCTAATGTGTTCCAATGCTGCAAAAAATTATCTCTAATTATGAGTGAATATGTGACGCCATATATATTTCGCTTATCGATACATACTGTGTAAATGGCAATAGTCTTGATTAAAATGAAATCGATTATCGACAAGTGAGTATTGTTAAATGCTATCTTCACTATATTCTCTTTATATTTAATCATTAATTTGTATTTTTTTTCGTAGGCTAGTATTTATAATGATGAATGGAAACATCAACAGACAACAGAATTTATAATTATCTCTAGATTCCAAGTATCATAAAAAAGAAGGATAAATGTTTGACAATCATAAAAGTGTGTGGTTAAAGTGATTGATTGAACAATATCTCAACTTATAATATTTTGCTCATTAGCACACACTTACCTGCTGTTTTATTTACTAATTACAGTAATGTATCTTTTTTATCAACCCTTATTAATTCTAAATATTTTTTTTTACTTTTTCAAGTACAAAATCTTAACAATAAGTAGAGGGTAAAATAAAAGTAAACATCAAATTTTAAGAAATATTTTTTATATTAAAATGTGAAGATTTATTTATCATTATATTTATTTTTTTCTAAGCTATAAAATGCGTTTAACCGCTTATATTGTAACCGGTTCTTTTAACAAAAAAATAATAATGTAAGGCAATACTTAATTATTAATCAATAATGTTAAGATAATTATAGCCATAAAAATAATGAAAACATTAATGCTAGTTAAATTCACTGGATGGCTTCTTGTCACTTTTTCGTAATAATTAAACATTATTACACATATGAGTTTAAAAAGAAAAAAACTTATAATAAAAATTAACAGCTTCTTACGAAAGATGACAAGTTTTTATATTTAAAATTTTACTTAAATTTGAAAAGAAAATATTTTCATTTCTAGAAAATGATGTGTGTGTGTGTATATATATATATTACATATATATATATATATATAGATTTATATATAAATATTGGTGTTTACTTTGTATTTCCATGAATTATTTTAAAAGATGAACAATCTTCTAACGACCATAAGGATGAAATTTACTCATATTTGCCGTAGATCCTGTGTAACCAGGTCGTTGTGGTCCTCCAGCAAAAGTATCTGTAGTTCCTGGAGCTGGAGGAATATTACTGAGATTTGCAGATCCGTAACGAGGTCCTGTTACAATTCCACAAAATGTGATACTTTTACGTAGGAAATGAGGAATTATTCACTGAATTTTATAGAGGAAAATAATGATATAAGTCTTCTTGTGGTATGATAAGTAATTATATTGAAGTCAGAGAAAAAAATTTACTCATAAGATTTTTTCAAATCAAAAAATAAAATCAAGATATTAATACTTATTAATTGTAATGTGAGAATAATGAACAGAATTAATTTATAAGTTAAAACAAATAAATTTTGATCCAGATTATGAAAATCTGTGAATTTTAATGCATGAATAAAAAATTCATAAAACATAAAAATGTATATTACTTATAGTTTAATATTATTAATTACTTTTAATTATTAGAGTATGTTGTTATTGAGATAAAGTCATGGTTTATGCTTTAAATTAACTTAATGTCTGCTTAAGTAATAGCTATTGAAAATATTCTCACGTAAAAATATAGAAAAGTGAATTTACTTTGAACTAAACATAATAACAAATACTTTGACTTTTCTATTTGCTAATAATTCTAAAATAATCTGAACTTCTCGTCTGAAATAAGTTAGAATTTTCTGTTGTCAATATTTAGCGTCTATAAGGATGATAGTTAGTGTGCTGTGATAAGGAAAATCTTTGAGGACCCGGAGCTACATCTCCATTAGGTATTAACGTCAAACCTCCGGGTTCACTTTTGAATTTTGGGACTTGAGGAATGTCTGTAGGAATAAAACAAAAATAATAATGTAAATTATTGAACAATTAAGGGCGGATAAGGATTGATATCTTATCACTGTAAATACTTAAACTAAATTATTGAAACAATTTTTACTTTTGCTACTTTAGTTATTGTTCAATAAAAATTGCTTCTCATTATGTTGAATACCAATTTTAAGTAATGTTTGGCTTGCAAATGAGAAACAATTTAATGCATAAAACACTGCACTCAAATGATCATTTTTTCCCTGTTTCAACAAAAACTTTTTGAAACAGTGGACCACCTCGTTCGTTCTTAATCTTTTGCCAAAAAAAATTATCTTGTCAACCGAATCAGAAAAAAATGAATAATGATAAATTATTAAAATAAAAAATTTACAAATGATTAGTATTGAATTTGTTTAAAAAAAAAAATAATAAACAAAACAAACGAGACATGTATATAAATTGATCACAAAAAACAGAAGTGGCAAAGAGAAAGTAGAAGGTATGCATAACATCAAGCTTCTTACATATGCAAACATTATTTTACTATTCATTTCTATCAAATTTATGCAACTGGTTCTAAAAAAACAAAACTTTTTTACCTTGTTTAAAATATTTTTTAAACAAATAATTTTTGAATTTTTTTTTTTCAAAATATTGATTGAAATGTTATATAAACAATATCAAAAGAACCCTGATATTCCAATAAACGTCAGACACTCACTCAATCCACTTTCGCTCATTGATCCACTTCTTTTGTAGATTTTATCAACAATCGTCATTTCAGCTAAACTAATAAAAAAATCTTGATTCAGAACTAGCTAAAAATTCATTGTGTCAACAAAAGGAAGTTTTTTTTTGAAAATATCTGAAGAAATGAATTTTACCCCGGAATATTATAATTTTCAATCATATTAAATAATAAAAAATCAAATTAAGCATTGAAAAAGCATAATTTCTAATGAAAATTATTGAATGTATCTAAAATTTTATTTTAGCTCAAATAAGTGATAGATATTCCAACTAGGAAACCTGTTAATTGCTACCATTTGTCCTCTTCCCTACCAAAGTGATGAGAATACATCCTTTGTAAAAAAAAAATAATTTAAAAAAACATTGGAAAATTGTGCAGTGTTTTAAGTCGACTAAATTACATTTAAAACCATACAGAGATATCATTGAAGAAAAAAAATAAATTGTTAAATTGGTGACAAAACAATGGTTGAAAGAAGGATAAGGAAATGACAGTTCACGATGAAATTAAAAATTCATAAGAATATTATTCATCATAATAATCATTTTAATATATTTTTGTTTTTACTTCTCTATTTAATAATTATTAATCCTCATAAGCTATATATCAATATGCATTTTTATGAATAATGATCCATTTGTCATTTTCTAATAATAATAATAATCAACTTATCACCTTTACATTGTTTAAATATATATATATATATATATATGTATGTGTATTATGTGTACCATTAATATATAATCATTATTTATTATCATTAATAATAGTAATATGATTATTGTAAATTAATAATTAATTATCTTAAGTATCAATTAATCAATAAATCCACTAGAAACACCATTAAGTATAATAGGAATATATATATGTATTTATATATATTTACGTATACTTTATATCTAAAGTTAATTTATTCTTTATGATATTAATAGACATATGTATGTATAGTTATCGTAAGATTAAATATTAAATAGTAATTCATAGCAATAAGAATAATTTTATGTTGTATAATAGTCTCAATAATTGTAATAATTAGCACTGGTTTTACGTCATCGGAACTAAAGGGAAGGGGTTTATACTATAGGTGTTATTCATCCATTCGTTTAAACATACTTTAATTAAAATAATTAAATAAAATAATATAATTTTAATGAATTAATCAAATAAGATTTCCCTCCCCTTTTTTTTCTGTCTTTACTCTTATTTTTTAATCATTTTATTGTTAATTTAGTTAATTAATTATTTAATATATATCTCGACAATTATTTGGTTGATTTAAAAATTAATAATAATGATAGTCATCATTGGAAATATCACCACTGACATTTTATTAATTGATTTATTAAATATTGTTCAAATATTCGACTAATTCTGTTTATGATTTTTATTCATTTTTAATCATAGATGTGTTGGTTTTTAAATTTATTTTATTCAATTTTCTATTTACTATTCTTGATAATGTAGTCAGTACTCTCACTTAAATCCTTCATTATTATCATTGTCAGCTTAATTAATTTAATTATCTCTATATAAAAGTACCGGTTAATTAATATTATTTTCTGAGGTTTTATCTTTTTTCATCACCTTACTTTGATATAAAAATTATTACTTTTCCTTTAATTACCAACGTTGTGATTTAACTTATCATTTATTATTTACTGAATAAAAAATTCTTCTCTCTTCTGAAGATTAAAAAAAAAAAATAATAATCTATTGTTAAAAATGTTACCTTCAGTCTTAGCTAGTTTTTTATGATTTTTAAAAGTAATATTATTGATAAAAATGCATTAACAATATAATTTATCGATATTTGTTTTTATTCAGCAAATTCAGAAGCATTCACGCAATTCAACCTATACATTTTCCCGTTATACCTTCCTTTCTCCCACACTTCTATTCTTCTTATAAACAAATTAATTTATGACTTATCGACTTGAGTATCCTTGAGTTTTTAAGAATTATTGATTAATTATGATTC